GGTCTTCTTGGAGAAAGCTGCTCGCGCAGAGGTACAGCGCACGGTGATCCACTACTGCCTTGCAATCCGAGATCAGCTCCGACGGCCCCGCTAGAATGGAAGCGGTGGCGGCTAGAGCGGCATACTCTGCTGAAACACTGGTCTGCGGATACACATTGGAAACGGTGCCACACATTCTAACTAAGGTATGTCCGATGGGGGCTAAGGCAGACGGCGCCCCACCCCGATCGAGACAGGTCACGAGCTGCATGCGGAAAACACGAGCCATCCAGGAAGCTCTTACCCCGAATTTCCTTCAAAGCCCCTGGACCTACAGCTGACGGGGTGAGCCCCGCAGACACATAGTCTTCAGGAAAAACGTCGAAGAAAACCTGGTCCTGCGACTCCTGGACCGACAGGGGGGGAGGAGCCACGGAGGACGGGTGGGGAAACAGTCCCGTTTCGCACAGGACCTTGAAACCAGGAATCGTTTCAGCCTCAAGCTCACTACGGATACGCAACAGAAGGGCTGGCTGGACCAGCTCTGATCGATCATCCTCGCAGGCAGGGCAGTGCCACAAGCGGTGCAGGACTGTGTTACCATCCGCACCGCACAGGACACACCGATCAACAACTTCGTATCCGAGGAGCTTAGCTCTACTGAATGGCCAGAGGCCCTGACAGGCCAGGGTGCGAATGCATCCCTTTTGTCTGGGAGAGAAACGTTTGGAGTTCAACGCAGTGCACAAAACATCAAAACACAACCTGGAGCCGTTGCCGTACTTGCAACCAGCCTCAAACTCCAGAGCCCTAAAAGTCGCACCTTCGCACAACCGCTGAAGGAGGGCGGGAGAGAAGAGAAGGAGAGGAAGGTCCACTCCACGGTCGTCGGTGATGGTGTAGGGGACCCTCATGCTCCATCACAATCTAGCCACCGAAAGATACATGGCCCCAATGGGCCCTTTGACAGATCTCCAGGTCCGCGGGGGGTTGTTCCAAACAGATTGCCAGGCCGTCCGAAGCTGAGCCCAAGATAACGTATACTCAGACATACGCGTGTGCAGGGTCCACAACTCTTTATGGTAGTGCAGGAGGGGAGCGACCGCTCCGTACCATGCTGGACTTCCTTCCACCCTGGTGAGAATGCAAAGAGAGCGGCCACCGCACGATGGCTTCATAACAGCTGCTGCGACACGCCTGGCATGGAGTAGCTCGGCATCCGACATGCCGTGCACGTCGCTGCCGTAGCTCAGCGCTGGGAGAGCTTCAGAACAGAAAACTTGAATCGTTCTCCTACCAAGGGCGCCAAGCTGTCTGGCCAGACGTCGGGTACGTCGTGTGGCCGAGAGCAGCCGCGCCCTAGCCTTCGGATTCCGTCCTCCGGCAGCAGGAGCAGAAGGAGGAGGAGGAGGAGGAGGAGGAGGAGGAACAGAAGGAGGAGCAGAAGGAGGAGAAGGAGGAACAGGAGGAGGAGGAGGAGGAGGAGGAGGAGGAGGAGGAGGCTGACGCTTCAGCGGCTGGACCGCTCCGAGCTCGACCAAGAAAAAAGGAGGAGGAGGAGGAGGAGGAGGAGGAGGAGGAGGAGGAGCACGTCTCCTCCTGCGCCCCGTTCGGCTCGAGGGGGCTCCCCGCCCTCCCCCCCCCTCCCCGTCCCCCGTCCCCGCGCCTGGTGGGGCCGCGCGCCCCCACGGGGGGGGGGGGGGGGGCGCCGGCCGCGCTGGCCCTCGCGGCGGGCGGCGCAGGCGGCCCCGTCGAGGCTTCTGGGCGAGGCTGGGGATGAGGCTGGTGATGGTGATGAGGATGAGGATGGTGATGATGAGGATGCGGATGAGGATGAGGATGGGGATGATGAGGATGATGAGGATGAGGATGAGGATGAGGATGATGATGCTGGTGATGATGGTGGTGGTGATGGTGGTGGTGATGATGATGGTGATGGTGATGACGATGGTGGTGGTGATGATGATGGTGGTGGTGATGCTGATGGTGATGCTGTTGCTGATGATGGTGGTGACGATGGTGCTGCTGATGAGGATGATGAGGATCATGGCAATGATGATGGTGCTGATGACGATGACGGTGGTGATGGTGATGGTGATGGCGGTTGTGGTGATGATGCTGATGCTGATGCTGATGATGGTGGTGATGATGATGGTGATGGTGGTGATGATGATGGTGATGGTGGTAATGATGGTGGTGATGGTGGTGACGATGGTGCTGCTGATGAGGATGACGAGGATCATGGCAATGATGATGATGCTGATGCTGATGACGATGACTGTGGTGATTGTGATGGTGATGGTGATGGTGATGATGGGTATGGTGATGGTGATGATGCTGATGATGGTGGTGATGATAACGATGGTGATGGTGATGATGCTGATGATGGTGGTGATGATAACGATGGTGATGGTGATGGTGATGATGATGGTGGTCATGGCGACGGTGATGATGATACTGATTATGATTATGATGATGCTGATGATGACGATGGTGATGATGATGCTGATAATCATGATGATGCCGATGGTGGTGATGATGGTGATGGTGATGATGATGATGATGATTGTGATGGTGGTGGTGATGATGATAATGGTGATAGTGGTGGTGATGGTGATGGTGATGGTGATGATGATGGTGATGATGATGATGGTGATGATGATGATGATGATGATGATAGTGATGATGCTGATGATAATGGTGATGGTGCTGATGGTGGTGGTGGTGATGACGATGTTGTTCACGTTGATGGTGACGATATCTGTGTTTAGGACAATTGTGATGATGATTGTGCTGTTGGTGGTGGTGATGGTAAGGATGATGATGTTGGTAGTGATGATGAGGATAGTGATGATGATGGGGGTGATGATGATGATGCTGTCAACACTGATAATGGTGATGGTGATGCTGATGCTGATGATGGTGATGGTGGTTGTAGTGGTGGTTGTGATGGTAACGAGGCTGATGATGATGGCGATGATGATCCCGATGCCAATTCTGATAGCACTGACGATGATGAACATGATGTTGACGATGATGGTGACGATGCTCCTGATGCCGACGCCCATGGCGATGCCGTTGACGATGACAGTAATGTTGCTGCTGATGATGATGATGATGGCGATGATGGTTGTGATGATGATTGCGATGCTGCTGCCGATGCCGATGTCGATGCCGATGATGATGATGATGATGATGATGATGATGATGAGTGCTGGTGAATGCTGATGACGATAGTGATGATAATGCTGATGATGATGATGATGGCGATGCTAATGCTGATGCTGATGATGGTAGGATGATGGAGACGATGCTGCTGCTGATGATGCTGGTAGCGATGTCGATGCCGATGGCGATGGCGATGGCGATGGCGGTGATGATGATGGTGATTGGCGATGCTGCTGGTGCTGCCTTTGTTGATGATGATGATGATGTTGATACTGATGATGCTTATGATCATGCTAATGGCGACGATGATGCCGATGTCGATGCCGATGGTGATGCTGATAATGCTGATGATGATGTTGCAGCTGATGATGATGATCCTGATGGCGGTGCTGATGCCGATGCCGATACCGATTGCGATGGTGGCGATGACGATGATGATGCTGCTGATGATGATGTTGATGCTGATGCTGATGACTGTGGTGGTGATGGTGATGGTGATGATGGTGGTAATGATGATGATGATGATGATGATGATGATGGTGATGATGATGATGATGATCATGCTGATGATGATGTCGGTCTTGATGTCGATGTCGGTGGCGTTGGCCATGATGATGACGATGGTGATGATACTGACGACGGCGATGGTGATGCCGATGCCGATTCATATGCATATGCGGACGCCCATGGCGATGACGATGGCGATGATGATGTTGACGATGATGATCAGATGGCGATGGTGATGCAGTTGTCGACGCCGATGCCGATGGCGATGATTATGATGAGGATAATAATGGTGATGCTGAGGGTGCTGATGATGGTGCTGCTGCTGATGATGATGGCGTCGATGCTGCTAATGCCGACGGCGATGGCGATATTGTTTATGATGATATTGATGGTGAAGATGTCGATGCCGATGACGTTAGCGATAGCCATGGTGAGGATCATGATGCTGATCATATTGATGATGATGGTATTGCTGGTGATGGTCATGATCCTGATGATGCCGATGCCGATGCCAATGCCGATCATGATGATAATGCCGATGTTGCTGATGATAATGGTGCGGATTATGGTGATGATCAAGATGATGTTGATGGTGGTGGCGATGTTGCTGGTGGCTGTGATGCTGCCGATGCCGATGTCTATGCCGATGCTGATGCCAATGGTGACGACGGCGACGACGACGACGATGATGATGGCGCTGATGTTGATGCTGATGGCGTTGATGATGCCGATGCTGAAGCCGATGGCGATGATGAATATGATGATGATGAAGGTGATGATTGTGATGTTGATTGTGGTGGTGGTATGGTGATGTATGGTGCTGATGATGACGGCGATGATGATGGTGATGATGACGATGATGGTGAGTATGATGATGATGGTGATGATGGTGATAATGATGATGTTGCTACTGTTGATGACCATGATATTGATCATGATGATGTTGATTGTGGTGGCGAGGGTGATGGTGATGATGACGATGACGATGCTGCTGATGGTGGTGGAGTGTAATGGTGATGCTGATGATGACGATGACGATAGCGATGACGATGATAATGATGATGCTTATGATGATGATGATGATGATGATGATGATGATGATGATGATGATGATGATGATGATGATGATGATGATGATGATGATGTTGCCGATCATGAGTATGCTGACGATGGCGATTACGATGATGGTGATGATGTTGCCGCTCATGATGATGCCGATCATGATGATGATGATGATGATGATGATGGTGGTGGTGATGGTACTGCTGATGATGATGATGATGGTGACGATGATGGTGATGACGTTGGCGTTGCTGTTGATGACTGGGATGATGATGGTGCTGTTGATGATGATGATGCTGATGATACAGATGATGCTGCTGATGATCATAACAATGCTGGCGTCTGCGATGACAGATATGATGATGCTGATGATTATGGTCATGATCATCGTGATGATGACGACGGTAATGATGATGATGACGACGGTAATGATGATGATGATGATGATGATGATGATGATGATGATGATGATGATGATGATGATGATGATGATGATGAGGATGTTGATGTTGATGATGATGATGATGATGATGATGATGATGATGATGATGATGATGATGAGGAGGAGGAGGAGGAGAGGAGGAGGAGGAGGAGGAGGAGGATCAGAGTTCGGGTGAGGATGAGGATGAGGATCTTGTTGAGGACGAGGACGAGGTTGAGGAGGGGGAAGAGGAGGAGGGGGAGGAGGAGGAGGAGGAAGAGGAGGAGGAAGATGAGGACCAGCAGGAGGAAGACGAGGAGGAACGTGAGGACGAGGATCAGAACGAGGAGGGCTGGAGCGATCCCTGCCGGCCCGCGGGCCAGCGCCAAGCCGGGCCTGTCCCTCTACAGGGGGAATGCTCCAAAATAGTCGAAAAATAGTCCCGGGGGCATTTTTGGATTTTTTTTTTTTGTTGTTGACATTTTGGAGTCTTTTTGGAGTATTTGGGGAGTGCTTTTGGAGCATTTCGTGGACATTTGTGGGGTATGTTTGGAGTATGTTTTGAGTATTTTGGGAGCATTTGGGGGGACATTCTGGAGTCTTTTTAGGGGCATTTTGCTCAGCACGAGGAGCAGTCTTTTTGGAGTATTTGTTGCCATTTTTGAAGTCTTCTTGGAGTATTTTTGGCGCGACCCGCTCCGCTCCGAGCCGGCTCGGCGCGCTCGGGCCCGCCCCCTGGCGCGGGCGCGCCGGGGCGCTTTCCGGCGCCGCCTGGCGGCGAGCGAGCTGCGCTGGTCGGAAGGCCACGGCCCCGGGCTCGTGGATTCCTCCGCTTCGGTTCCCGGGAGAGTAGCCATCCCCAGACCTCCTGGCGTCGTGAAAAAATCACGACGGGAGGTTTTTCGCTATTTTCGGCCTCCGGGGACCCTCGCCGGGCCTCGGGAGCGTCACAAAACGATTCAGGACGAAGAACCGGCCCCGGGGAAGGGGTCCAGACCTTTGGGGGTCGACGTTGTGAAAAAATCACGACGTCGGGGGTCTGGGTCCAAAGTTTGTAGCTACCCTGACTCCAGATCCGCCCTACTTTGGCTTTTTTTCCAACTTGCAAGTGCGGTCGGAAGGCCACGGCCCAGGGCTCCAGTCGATTTCTCCGCTTCGGCCTGGGGACGCTGGCATCGCTCGGACGTGTGCATTTTTCCTTCGGCGAGGACCATCGAGGAACATCCTTGATCATGTGGCGAAAAACCACGCACGAAACCGAGAAAACACAGGGAATGGACGTCCGAGCGATGGCGAGGGGGGCGCTGGGGTCTCCTATGGGGGCGCTGGGGTCTCATGTGGGGTCGCTGGGGTCTCCTATGGGGGCGCTGGGGTCTCATGTGGGGGCGCTGGGGTCTCATGTGGGGACGCTGGGGTCTCATGTGGGGACGCTTGGGTCTCGCATGGGGACGCTGGGGTCTCATATGGGGACCCTGGGGTCTCATATGGCGACGCTGGGGTATCATATGGGCTCGTGGATTCCTCCGCGTCGGTTCCCGTGAGAGTATCCAAAGTTTGTAGCTAGTCTCACTCATGCCGAGGTCCCCCCCCTCCTCGGGTCGGGTCTCAACTGGGAGGGGGAGGAGGAGGCGGAGGAGGAGGAGGGCAGGAGGGCAGGAGGAGGAGGAGGAGGAGGAGGCGGAGGCGGAGGAGGAGGAGGGAGGGGAGGAGGAGGAGGAGGAGAGGAGGAGGAGGAGGAGGAGGGAGAGGAGAGGAGGAGGGGGAGGGCAGAGGAGGAGGAGGGGAGGAGAGGGAGGAGGAGGAGGACATAATTAGCCTTCGGGTCTCCCATCCTGACTCTTCGGGTCGGGTCGGGCCCCGGGGCCTCCGGGGAAGAGCCGGCGGGCCCGCGAGGGCCGCGGTGCGGCGGGCTCCGAGCTCGGGCCAGGTCGGCGGGGTGTCTGGGGGCGGCAGACTCCCTGCGAGGTCCTCGAGCCGAGGGCCCCTGCAAGATCCTCGGCGGGGTATCCTCCTCCTCCTCCTCCTCCTCCTCCTCCTCCTCCTCCTCCTCCTCCTCCTCCTCCTCCTCGGGTGTCCTAGGAGCGGCAGATCCCTCAGGCGGTTCCGCCCCCCCCCCTGATGGGTATGGTCAAACGACGCGAGGATCGGGACAAAATCGGATCGGGATGACTCGAAATCTCTGAGAGTCGGCGGGCTTGGAGGACGTATTGGGCGCCGCGGCCGCTCCAGAGCGTTCCGGAACGCTCTGAGAGCGCTCCGGAACGCTCTGGAGCGATGCATCCCGATGCTAGCCATGTTTTACCGGGTGCTCCAGGCGGTTCCGCCCCCCCCTTGATGGGTGTGAGGTTCCATTCGGTTTCTGTGGCCTCCGATGCCGATGCGACTCGACTCCTCAGTGGAGGCCTGCTTCAGAGATTCGGCGTCGGGTTCTCAATGCAGGCCTCCCTTTCGATTCGGCTTCGGACTCCGACTTGGGGCCCGATCTCTCAGTGGCAGCCTACCGGCCTGCCGGTCTCCGCCGATTCGGCCCCTCCCGGCTCGGCTGCCGATGTCCGCCGATCCGATCCACTTCGATCGCCGATCCTCAGAGCGTGAATTGCCTACCCCGCTTTCGCTTCCAGGCAAAACCAAGCCATACCACGCGCCTCCTCGTCAAGCGGCCTGACCAGTACAGGCCGTAGTTTGGCATCGTTTGGTATCTCTTGGGAGCGAGGGTGGTCAAAAGAGAAGTAGGTGTGTTTTCCCCCTAGATCCGACTTGTCGATCCGATTCTGGGCTCCCCTGACGGCCGCGCAGGGCGGAGCGGTCCACGCGGCGCGGCCGTGGACCGTTCCACCGTTCGCGGCCAGGCGACCGTGTTCTACGGCGGGGCCTACACGGTCGAGGTCGGTTCGGGGAGGGTACCCTGATGTTCTTTGTGCTTGCTGGATGTTCTTTGTGCATCCTGGGGGAGGGCACCCTCGAGTGGGCTTCAGTTTGGCCTGCGGGCAGTCTCACGTGCTTGCAGGATGTCCTGTCCTAGGTCCAGCCGTAGTCGTCCTTGCGAAGCTCTTCCAGAAGGTGCACCCTAGATGTACCACTCACCCCGAAGCGGGTCTCCTCGACGACTCAAGCAGACAAGCTCCTCGACGGCCTGTTTATGCAACGGCTCTCGATTCGAGCTGGCACTCCTACAGACAGTGACCTGGTGTTTAACGGACTTGGCGGCCAAAAGGGGGGAGTGGGGGGAAGGGTCGGACCCCCCCCCTTTTGAAAGGGGTTCCCGACGACGGACCGGGAAAGGGGGGGGGGTCCCCGACGACGGATCGGGAAAAGGGGGGGAGGGGGGGAGGGCCCCCGACGACGGATCGGGGAAAAGGGGGGGGGCATCCCCCCCCCGCCCTTGGGGTCATCCAGCGGCGCGCCCTCTTAATCCGTTCCAGAGCGTTCTGGGACGCTCTCGGAGCGTTCCCGAACGCCCTGAGTAGGCCGCGCCCGATACATCCTCCACTGGTCCGCCAGATCTCAGAGCATCTCGATCCTTCCTCGCCCGAATTTGTCCTCGTCCTGGCCTCGTCTCAAATAGGGACAGGGACCTCTCCAGGAGAGGAGGAGGAGGAGGAGGAGGAGGAGGAGGAGGAGGAGGAAGGAGCGAGGAGGAGGAAGGAGGAGGAGGAGGAGGAGGAGGAGGAGGAGAAGGAGGAGGAGGAGGAGGAGGAGGAGGAGGAGAGGAGCGAGGAGGAGGAGGGGGAGGAGCCGCCTCCGACGCCCGGCGGGAGCCGCCCGGAGGCGGCGCCCGATGGCGGCCGCCAAGCGCGCGCGCACCCAGCCGCTCGCCGAGGAGCTCGCGGGGGCCCGCCCGCGAGGGGCACGGGGACGGTGGAGGAGCACGCGGGGCCGCCGCTGCCGCCCGCCGCTGCTGCTGCTGCTGCTGCTGCTGCTGCTGCTGCTGCTTCGGCTCCTTGCTCGCTCCTGTTCCTGATGACTGCTGCTGCTGCTGCTGCTTCGGCTCCTTGCTCGCTCCTGTTCCTGATGATGCCTCCTCCTCCTCCTCTTCCTTTTCCTCCTCCTTCTCCTACTCCTCCTCCTCCTCCTCCTCCTCATCATCATCATCATCATCACCCTCGACATCATCATCAGCAGCAGCAGCATCATCATTATCATCGTCATCATCATCATCATCATCATCATCATCATCATCATCATCATCATCATCATCGTCATCGTCATCGTCATCGTCATCGTCATCGTCATCGTCATCGTCATCGTCATCGTCATCATCCTCATTGTCATCATCCTCATCATCATCCTCATCCTCATCCTCATCCTCATCCTTTTCCTCCTCCTCCTCCTCCGCCTCCTCCTCCTTCTTCTCCTCCTCCTCCTCCCCTCCCTCCTCCTCCTCCTCCTCCCCCTCCCTCCTCCTCCTCCCCTCCTCCTCCTCGCTCCTCCCCCCCTTCTCCTCCTTTTCTCCTTCTCCTCCTCCCCCTCCCTCCCTCCCTCCTTCCCTCCCTCCCCTCCCTCCTCCTCCTCCTCCTTCCTCCTCCTCCTACTCTTCCTCCTTCTGCTTGTCCTCCTCCTCATTCCTCCTTCGCCTTCTCCTCCTCCTCCTCCTCCTCCTCCTCCGCCTTCTCCTCCTTTTCCTCCACCTCCTCCTCATCCTCCTTCGCCCAAGCTTACTCGTCCTCGTCCGCCGCCTTCTTGACCTCACCTCGCTAACTTCCTCCTCCGCGCCCACATCCTCCTGGCCCCCCGTTGCCCTCGTCGTCGTCCTCCTCTCCCCCCCCCCCCTGCTGCCAGCCAGGACCTGCAGAAGGGCGTCAAGGTGCTGTTCCACGGCGACCGCCGGGGCATCGTGCGGGACGCCTTTGCGCCTCTGGACCAGTTCTCCGACGGCCTCCTTCGCTCCTCCCGCTCGGCCGCGCGCAGGGGGGGTGGGGTCGGAGCCGGGGGGGGGAAGGCTTCTTCGAAACCCGCCCGCCTCTCGGAGGGCGCGAGCCTGGTCTGTGGGCTGCAGGCGCAAGGCCCGCGCTTCTAAGAAGCAGCCTCCCTCCTCCTCCGCCTCCTCCTACGCCGCCTCCTCCTCCTCCTCCTCCTCCGCCTCCTCCTCCTCCTCCCTCCGCCTCCGCCTCTCCTCCGCCTCCTCCTCCTCCTCCTCCTCCGCCTCCTCCTCCTCCTCCTCCTCCTCCTCCTCCTCCTCCTCCTCCTCCTCCTCCTCCTCCTCCCCCTCCCCCTCCCTGGGAGGCCTTCCCCCCACCCTGGTGCGCGCCGCCATCCCTCGCTCCTCCCCCGCGGAGGGGGGCCAGCCGAGGCAGCGGCAGCTGGCCTTCGGAGGTGGCCCGCGCCACCACGGCTGGACGCAGCTCGTAAGACATTGGTGCGCTTGGGCCCCCAGGAGGAGGAGGGGGGGAGGAGGAGGAGGAGGAGGAGGAGAGGAGAGGAAGGAGAGGAGGAGGAGGAGGAGGAGGAGGAGGAGGAGGAGGCTGAGAGGGGGAGGGGGAGGGGGAGGGGAGGGGGAGGGAGGGGAGGGGAGGGGGAGGGGGAGGGGGAGTAAGGAGGGGGGGGGAGGGGAGGAGGAGGAGGAGGAGGAGGAAGGAGGAGGAGGAGGAGGAGGGAGGAGGAGGATGAGGAGGAGGAGGAGGAGAGGAGGAGGGGAGGAGAGGAGGAGGAGGAGAGGAGGAGGAGGAGGAGAGAGAGGAGGAGGGGGGGAGGAGGAGGAGGAGGAGGATGTGGGGGAGGAGGAGGGGAGGAGTAGGAGGAGGAGGAGGAGGGAGGAGGAGGAGGGGAGGGGAGAGGAGAGGAGGAGAGGATGGAGGAGGGGGAGAGGAGGAGTAGGGGTCCAGGAGCCGAGGTGGGCTGCCGCTGTCTATCTGCACGCACGAGATGGGTACAGAAAGAATGGGTAGTTACAATGCCCAACCAGCAGTTCCTGCTCATTTGGACAGGACTCGCTGTCCGCGCCGCCGCGGCCTGTCTCCATTTGAGACAGAAGGCCGCCTGCCCAACAGCGGCCGCTGTTGGTTCGGGACAACATTGCTGTTGGGCATTGTGCCCATTGATTCCGTGCCCGTTTCGGGCGTCCAAAGTCTAGGCCTCCCAGATGGGGTCGAAGCAGATGGGTCGGAGGATCGTGCCGCATCGCGCCGGTGCATCGGCGACGCATCGGCGATGCAGCTCGATGCGGGGCCCGATTTTCTCCATGTTGGCGTCGCCGATGCGCCGCCGACGTCGCCGACGCATCGCCGAATGCATCGGCGATGTATCGCCGATGCATCGCGATGCGGCGCGATCCTCCGACCCCATCTGGGAGGCCTCGACGCTGGCCCCGTTCGCCCCTCTTCGGCCTCCCTCGCTGCTGCCGCGCTCCCCCTCCTGCGTTGCGCCCTGCCCGCTTCGTGCGTTGCATCTCCGTGCGCGTGGCGTGCGTGCTCGTTGCTGGCTGCTCCTGCGCCGCGCAGTCCTGAACACTGAGCACTGCTGCCTTTCCAAGGTGATCGTTTGCTTGTTCATTGATTTGCCGATCGGCGCAGGCCCTCGCACCCCCCCCCCTCCCCCCCCCATGGAGCAGATCTTGGCCGTTTTTGGCGCCTGTTTCAGGCCTGTGGAGTCTCCCCCACAGGACGCACTGCTGCAAACAGTCGCATGAAGCAGAGGTCCAGAGCCAGACCCTCCCCTCCCTCCCCCTTCGCCCAATGCTTAAACGCCGAATAAGAAAACGCTCACCTGGTCCGCTGGTCCGCTCCAGGCCTCGGTCGGGCGATTGGGCGCCAAAACGTCATTCCTTGTAGCCTGCTGTCAATTCCTTGTAGCCTTTTTCTGTCTCGGGTGATATACAGCCGCGGGGTGCTTATATCTGTCTTTGCTACTTGCTTTCCCAGCTCGCGTTCCTTTTGCTCATCTCCCTTCTGCCCTTTTTTCCCGCTGTGGCGATCCATGTTCGCTTGGAGGTGGGCTCCAAGAGCATGGCCGGACATGGATGATATTTCAGTTTTGGCCTGGAGGGCTCCCCCGGTAGCTCTTCTGACGGCGCGCGAGCTCATCTGCTCTGTCCGCTGCGTCCCCTCAGCTTTCCCCCTTCTTCTCCCCAAATAGCGCTGAGGCACAAACAAAAAAAACGCTCACAAAGCCATAGGGGCCTCCGAGGCCCACCCGAGACAAATCAAGTCGAGAACGCGACCATTATTGGAGCTCCTCTGAAGCACCAGTGGCTTTTCATTGATGCTGGCCCCTCCCGGTGCTATTTGAAGGCGTTTGGCGGGTGTCTTGGGAGCACCTTGGGGTTGATCAGGAACGGTTTATTTTGGCCTCCCAGGGGGCCATCTTCGGAAGGGGCTAAGACGAGGATAAATCCGTTCCAGAGCGTTCCGGGACGCTCTCAGAGCGTTCCAGAACGTTCTGAGAAAGCAGCGGCGCCCGAGACATCCTCCAGAACCGCTGGATCTCAGAGATCCTCGATGTATCCTCACCCGATTTTATCCTCACCCGAGTTTCTCCTCACCCGATGTATCCTCGATATGGTCCTCGCCCAATCAGCACCCCATGTTACTGAAGGGGCCCAAGGACACAAATAAATAAATACGCAAATGCAAATCTTCCACATTTGTTTTCCATGTGTTCTGGGTTTCTGTCTTCCCCCCCCACACTTCCCACATTTTTTCGCATATTGTCTGGGGGATCGACGATGAATTGTGTCTGTGTGCTTTTTTTCCTCCTGAGTTGCCCTCGTCCTGGCTGCGTCGTACAATTCTTGGACGACCTCGGGGCTGCTGCTTCCCTGGCGCTCCGACATTCCAGGCCTCGCCCCCCGCTGTGGGGCAGGGAGGGGCCGAGCATGCTTGGCCTAAGCCGGGCGTGTCCCTCTACGGGGGGGAGATTCAAAAATAGTCAGAAAACAGTATGGGGACCATTTTTGGAGTATGTTGTGTCCATGTGGGGATATTTTTCGAGTACTTCTTATTTTTCATCGAAAATCCCCCTGTAGGGGGACACGCCCGACTTAATGCTCGGCTGACGTGGCGGGCTGGGGAAGGACCGCGCGCGCGCGCTTGCGGCACAGCCCCTGACATGATCGCGTCGTGAAAACATCCAGACGGGAGGTTTTTGGCCGCTTTCGGCCCTTGGGAGCCCTCGCCAGGCTTCGGGACCGTCAACAAAAACGACTCAGGACGAAAAACCAGTCCTAGGTAAGGGGTCGGGACATCCAGGGACCTCGCATTTCAGGCGATCGCGAGCATGGATTAAGGGGGCGTGGATTAGCGACGGGTCCCGTTTCCATGGGAAATCGCAGATTTCCGCCGCCGAGCGAGGCAGCACCGGCCGCATTCTGGGGAGGGCACCTCCCCCGATTCGTGGATTTGGCGACCGCGCGCCAAATCCATGGATCGCTAATCAATGTTTGCGCGCCCCCGAGCGTTGAACCAATCAGGACGTCGCATGTCTGGGGTATTGGGCGGCACCGCCTATATCCGAGGATATGCCTCCTCTCGGCCTCGCTCTGAGGCTCCGCCGCTTCCTCCCTCCTCTTCTCTGCCTAGTTCAAGCCTCGCGCGGCCCGCTTAGCTTCGACCGGAAGAGGTGCGCTCTCGACCCGCGGATCAAAAAATGTTTGGGGTCATGTCAGGAGGAAAAAACACACAGACACAATTAGTCGTCGATTCCACAGAAAATATGGGAACATATGGGAAGTGGGGGGGGAAGACAAAAACCCAGAAAATATACGAAAATATGGGGAGTATTTTTATTTGTGTGTACTTATTTCTGCGTCCTGGGGCTCCTTCATCATGGGCGGCGCGAAGAAGGGGCGCGCCGGCGCGGCCGCCGCCCGCGCGGGCGCGGCCGCCCCGCAGCGGTTGCTCTTGCGTTCCTGTTGTGTGTTCGTTTCCCCGCCCGGCCTCGCTGGGCCGAACGAAAGGGGGGGGATAGGGAGAGGGGGGGCGTACGAAAGCTCCTCCGCCTCCTCCTCCTCCTCCTCCTCCTCCTCCTCCTGCTCCTCCTCCTCCTCCTCCTCCTCCTCCTCCTGCTCCTCCTCCTCCTCCTCCTCCTCCCTCCTCCTCCTCCTCCTCCTCCTCCTCCTCCTCCTCCTCCTCCCCCCTCCTCCCCTAGGGAGAGGGGGGGGTGCGTACGAAGGGGGGGGGATAGGGAAAGGGGGGGTTACGAAATCTGCTGCATGCAGCTGCTTTCGGCCCCGCCGCCAGGCCCAGTCCTCGACGCATGGGCGCCTCCCGGCGCCAGGAGGCGTTGGGGAAATCAGCTACGTGAGCTGATTCTCAACCCATTCCCCCCGACCACACCAACGGCGGCGATCGCAGCAACCGAGCTGACACAACAGGCTAAAGCTGCGAGCTGGCGCTGGCGAAACGCCGACACGGCCAGGGGCCAACGTGCCAGCAGGAAGTTGTGCTTGACGCGCCAGGTTGAGCCCGTGAGAGTCTTAAGGCCCTGGGCACAGGCCGACAAAGCCGCGCCCGCGCGCGCACACGAGATGCCCCAAGTGGCCCGAGGCTTACATTAATTCGGGCACGTCCCTCTATTGGAGGAATATGATTCAAACATCCTCAAACAATACCCCTGGGACGGTTTTTGGAGCATTTGTTTGGTAATTCTGGGCATTTGTCGCATCTGTTTGGCATTTGGCGTTCAAAATCCCCCTAGGCGTAGGCATAGGAGTTAGGGGGGAGGCATAGGCATAGACATAGCCATAGGAATTAGGGGGGGACAAGAATTAGGAGGGGGAGGGGCAACGGACCAATTAGTAGGGTCTGAGCTAAGAGTCGTATACGTAGGGCAAGCTTATTTGGAGAAGATCCCTCTGCAGGGGGACACGCCCGACTTGAGGCGAACGCCTGCGGAGAAGCTTTCCCGCTGCACAGGAAAACTCTAGGCCT